AAGGAAATCAGAGAAGTATCATTGCTAAAAAGATCTTTGTAGCGATCTGAAGGTGAGAACTGGCTGTGCAAGTGGCTGAGGGAAGAGTGATCAGCATGGAGAAAGAAACAAAGGGAAAAACCCTGCAGGCCAGTGAGTTAAGGAGACAGGGAAGGTATGAGTGAGTGCAGAGGCCCACCCAGAGGCTGAGACAAGGGCTGACCTGGGGTCAGGTGTTGTGTTAGGTCCACTTCCTCTCCAGGTGTTTCCAGTGTTCATCCAGGGTGTGAATCACTGATTAAGGGTTAAATAAGCTTTCTCCAGCACAGGATGGAGATCCAGGGGTTAACTCCTGTGATGAGAAGGCCTTAGGCAGGGGCTTGTGGTCTTGCCAGGGATGCTGGGAACATTGCAGGCAACAAAAATTCTTTTCCATTTGCGTACTTTTTCTGATCTGAGTGCCTTGCCTCTCTAGGCCTCTGTTTCTTTATTTGTAGAGTGGCTTAAATTGAATGGGGTTCCTGGAAACTCCTTGGCTCTGACAGGCTTTTGTGTTTCTTATGTTGAAAAAAAAAGAAAAGAAAAGAAAAGAAAAGAAACAAAACAAAAAAACCTAATCTAGAAAAATATTCTAGAACAATGTTTTTTAATGTTGGTCTTACAACACACTAAGGTGTGTCATAATTATGACAAGAGCTACAGTGAATGTCTCAATACCAATTTGAAGGAAAATGTGTACTATGTCCAGTAGGATCCTGGAAGATGAGCATGCTGGGAAATGGGAAACTGACTACAACTTTCAGAGCTTTTAGTACAAGGGCATCTTGGTCTTTGGAAGCAGGCAGAAGCCTAGGTATCCTTTTTTGAGTATCAGTTATGGCTCTCCTACTGCTGAGTTTCTCATGAGGTGAGAGTAATGTGTTGTAAATGGTAAAGTTCTTACATCAAACCCAAAGTCTGTGATTTCAGTGGCTTGGGAGAAACAGCCAGCCTGGATTAGTAAAGCCTCAGGTCTGTTAGCTCCTCTGTGCAGCCAGACTGTTTATTGCACACCACTGACTCTGGTTCATAGGCCAGAGTCCCATGGCTGGAGGCACCAAGGTTCTCTTAGAGTGAATAGCCAGGTACATTCAGAACTTACTCACACTGGACAGTAGTCCTAATCCCTTACCTCTTCAGCTCTCAGCCTCTGGCTTTTGTCCTACTTTTGATGTTATAGTAGTTTTTGTTAGTTTATGTTTTGTTTGTTTGAGAGAGTATCTCATGTTGTGCAAGCAGGCTTTGAACTCTTGATCCTCTTGCTTCCATTCCTGGGGTGCTGGGATTTCAGGCATGGACCACCAAAACCTGGCCTAGTTTATGTTTTGAAATGTTAGGATCCAAACATGAAAAAGAAAAAGTTCAGAAAATTTAATCCGTGTCCCTTTCTGCAGAATTGGGGTGTCTTGTCCCCTTCCTTCAACATTTCCATTAATGTTATCTGTATCTCTCCTTAGAATCTAAAATAAGTGCTGACCTGTCAAAATTAAGATAAAGATGAAGTCAGGCTGGGAAATGCATGATTGAAGTGAGAAAGGTCAGAGGAGCTTAGATATTAGAGAAATAGCCAGGTATATTGGAGCACAACTTTAATCCCAGTGCTTGAGAGTCAGAGACAGGAGGATCTCTATGAGTTTGAGGTTAGCCTGGCTATATAGCAAGTTCAAGGTCAGCCAGAAAGAAAACAGAAAAAGAAAAGAGAGAGAGAGAAATGAACTCCCCCCTCTTCCTCTTCTAGACAGATGTGTTTTATTAAAAACAAAACAAAAGACCAACAGAAGCAATAAAACCCTTTAATAAGAAAATATGATTAAATTTGGCAGTAATTCAAGCTCTTAAACCTTTCAAGAAAGCTAACAGGATACCTGAAAGATGTACAGCCAGTTGCAGGTAGTTCTTTGGTTTCACACAAGCTTTCCTAATGATTATCACAACCTAACATTGTTTTTCAAAAATAGGTCTCAGTCTGGAAGGAGAGCTGGCTCAGCAGTTAAAAGCACTGGCTGCTCTTCTGAAGGACCAGGGTTTAATTTCTAGCACCCATATGTCAACTTGTAACTGTTTATAACTCAGTCCCAGGGGATCCAGTTTGTTCTCTTGTCCTCTAAGGACACCAAGTGTGCACATGGTGTACAGACATAAGTAGACAAAATACTCATACACATAGTTACATAAAAATAATTTAAAAATAGATCTCAAGGTATATGCATAGAAGAAAACAATTGAAGCTTCTTTCTCACCAGATAGGGTTTTTCTGTGTGGCCCTGGCTGTCCTGGAACTTACTTTATAAACCAGGCTGGCTTTGAACTCAATCTACCAGCCTCCACCTCCACAGTGTTAGAACTAAAGGCGAGCACCACGCCTGTCTAACAATATGATACGTAAAGAAGTTTAAGGGTGCCCCACGAGCTGAGCATGAAAATATGCAAATAATTTATAAAATAAGCTTTTTGATCCTAAAAAATGAAAATGGGGCAAGCTCACAGAAGGGTAATAGACCAAAGGAAGGCAACAGCAAGCACCCTAAACCTTCTCTTTGTGACACAGCTTCAGGGAGGCAGTATCATTTCCCAGCCCAGCCGATCAGCTCTCCATGGGGAGAATCTGCATATGGCTTGGTGTGCATAAAAGAAAGTAAAGGAACGCTGTCCTGCATTGTGTCCATTTCCTCCTTTTTCTTATTTTCTCCAGTTTCTCCAGTTTCCTTTGGGCTGTGGTAGTGCATACCTTTAGTCCCAGCACTCAGGAGGCAGAGGCAGGCGGATTTCTGTGAGTTTGAAGCCGGCCTTCGAGTGCCAGGATAGGCTCCAAAGCTACAGAGAAACCCTGTCTTGGAAAAATACAATACAATACAATACAATACAAAAAAAAAAAAAAAAAAAAAAAAAAACAAAACAAAAAAACAACCCAACAATAAATAAACACAAGTCAAGCTCCAAGGTTTGGAGTCATCAACTTCTATTGGAATATCACTTGGGAAATGAGAGCCTAGGAAAAGTAGGCTTTTTAATGAAGCACAACATCTATCTCCATGTATCACCAGGCCAATGACAGGACATTTTCCACCTTAAAACAAGATTTTTTTGTTTTGTTTTCTACTTTTTAAAAAGTTGTTTATTCTTTTCTTTTAACCAGAGTTCCATATAGCCCAGGCAGGCCTCGAACTCCTGATCCTCCTTTCTCTGTCTCAAGTGCGCCTCATTATATATGAAAGTGCTGGGATTAAAGGTGTGCACCACCAACACCTGGCTGACTTTTTACCTTTTTATTATTATTCATTTATTTCTTTTTGAGACAGGTTTTTTCCTGTGTGGCCCTGGCTGTCCTGAAACTCACTCTATAGTTGAGACTGGCCATAAACAGAGATCCGTCAACTTCTGCCTCCTGAGTGCTGGAATTAAGGTGTGTGCCACCACCACCCAGCTATTACTGTTTATTTATTTAGGCCTTTACACTTTATTTTATGTGTGTGAGTGTTTTGCTTACGTGTGTGTGTGTGTGTGTGTGTGTGTGTGTGTGTGTGTGTGTGTGTGTGTGTTTTCTTGGTTCCTGTAGAGGTCAGAGGGTGTCAGATCTGAAACAGGTACAGGCAGTTGTGAGCCACCGTGCTGGTGCTGTGAACCAAACCTCTGGAAGAGCAGCCAGTACTCTTAACCACTAAGCCAACTTCCCAGCCCCTTTTCTGTTTTGTTTTTTCGAGACAGGGTTTCACTGTTTAACTTTGGCTATCCTGGAACTCGGCTTTGTAGACCAGCCTGGCTTCCAACTCAGAGATTCTCCTGCCTCTGCCTCCCAAGTGCTGTGATTAAAGGTGTGAACCACTGCTGTCTGGCCCCTTTCCTGTCTTTAAACACAGGGTTTAGCTGGCTATGTAACCCCAGGCTGGTCTTCAACTTTACTGCCTTGGCCTTCTGAATACTGGGATTATAGGTACACTGTCACCCTGCTGTCCTCTTGTTGTTCTGAATACTAACAGACTGTTGACTATTTCAGAACACTAGCCAAGTAAATCTAAATCTTGGGGTAGTGGCCAAGCATTAGCAGTTTCCAAAGTACCCAAGGTAATCCTCAGGTTCAGCTATGGTTAAAAACCACTTAAGTAAGCCTGGAGATGGTGGCTCATCCCTTTAATCTCAGCACTCAGGAGGCAGAGGCAGGTGGTTCTCTGTGATTTTTGAGGCCAACCTGGTCTATGGACTGAGTTCCAGGACAGTTAGGATTGTTACACAGAAAAACCCCGTTTTGAAAAACCATAAAAAGCAAAACCAAAACCCAGCTCATTAAAGAAAGAATGCTCTGCCAGCTGTTGCCATCTCCTCTTTCACTCTCAAAGGGTTCAGTGCTTGCCTCCTCAGTCCTCTCCCTACCGCAGGTTCCCCAGCTTCCAGCTCCACTCCCTGTCCTGGTGAGCATCCTCGGCCTCAGTGGGCGGTGTCCTGAGCTCTGGACAGGGAACTGTGGACAAAACTTCTGTCCAAGTACTAACCAGGCCAACCCTGCTTAGCTTCCGAGATCACATGAGATTGGGCGCGTTCAGGGTGGTATGGTTATAGACGACTTCTGTCCTTTCTGAAATTCACTTCCTGTTGGTGATCTGGAAGGTGTGAGGGGAAGCCTGCCTGCCACCATGCTTGGCATAACATCACAAATATGACATTTGCTATGTGCTAGTTCTGTTTTACATATGGGAAACAGACACAAGTACAGATGCTCGCTCAAGGTTACATGGCTAGTTAGTTAGCTGTTAGTGGGATTTTATCCATCAGAGTCTGCTCTGAACCAACATGCTGGGCTAGGTAGAGGGGAGTGGGTCCAGGGTTGGAAGTTTCGCCTTTGTGGGGCCAGCTTTGAATTTAGAGGTTTTCTTTGGGAGCGTATCTATAATGGGGTGGTTGTTTCTAGTTTTCTTAAATGCTTTCCTTCCTTTAACATTTATCTTCAAACCCATTTAAAGGCTTTTTTTTTTTTTTTCTTTCCATAGGTGGTGATTGGACTCTAGACCATGTGCCTAGGTAGTTTTTCCTTTCTCCGCAGCTCTACTCTCCCAGCAGCGCTCACTACACCCTTCTTTTGAGAACCTCACTAAGGTATGATGTCTAGGTTGACCTGAGCTGGCTTTGAAAGTGCTGAGTTTTGCTACAAGAGGACTTTTATTGCTCGTTGTGTTTCATTTTGGTGGTTAAATACAACAAATCTCCTAATTTTAAATGTACAGTGGTATTAAGTACAATTGCAATTATGCAGCCATCAGCACCCAGTTCTATTCCATCAAACAACTCCCTGTCTATATCCCCTACATTCTTGGCAACCTTCATTCTATTTTCTATGGATTTGCCTGCTTTAAGGAGGTCATATAAATGGAACCATTCAGTATTTATCTTACTGTATCTGGCTTACACCACTAATGTCTCCAAGATTTGTTCATATTGTAGTGTGTCCAGATTTCCTTGTCTCCTCCCATTCCTTCCCTCCTTTCCTTTCTTCAGTCATATGAATAGAATACAAGACTTTATGTATGCTAGGCAAGCATTCTACCACTGAGCTATGTCCCTAGCCTCTATCCTTTTTCAGGCTGAGTAACATATTTTGTTCATCTGTTCATTCATTGGTAAATAGTTGGATTACCCTACCTTTGGGTATTGTAAATGTGGCTGCTATGAATGAATATGTAAATATTTTGAGGCCTTGCAGTATGTGTTGTGTGTTTGTTTATTTTGAGGCAAGGTCTTGCTCTGTAGTACAAGCTATCCTTGAGCTTGACTTTCCTGCTTCAGCCTCCTGCATTCCTATGTTTGGCTCATATACCTAGAAATGGACTCCTGGGCTCTTTTTAAATTTTTTAAAGGAATTTTCCATAGTGGCAATTTATTTATTTGTTTTTCAAGACAGGATTTCTGTGCCTAGTCCTGGCTGTCCTTGAACTCCCTCCATAGACCAGGCTGGCCCCAAACTCAGAGATCCCACCACTGCCGCTGATGAAAGGCATGTACCACCATCTCCAGTGGTAATGCCAGTTTATATTCCTAGCAATGCACAAGGCTTCCAGTTTTACACATTCTTACCAAGAGTTGTTATATTCTATTTGTTAATTATTATTATAAAACAATCTATTCTGATGGGTGTAACTACTAGGTTTATCTAGTTTGACCTATGGAGTCCACCATGCAAGGGACTATTTTCCTGAAACATAAATGTTGTAGAAAATAATTTGATTAGTCAGGTGGTGGTGGCGCACATCTTTAATCCCAGCATTCTGGAGTCAGAGGCAGGTGGAGGTGGATCTCTTTGAATACAATGCTAGCCTAGTCTGTAAAGCTAGCTCCAGAACAAGCAAAACAAACAAACAAAGAAAAACTTTACTCAGTTAACAGTTCGTGGCCAACTGTGTTTCATTTGTGTGCTCTCCCTGTTCTCTTTCTCTTGTTCTTTGTTATTTTGAGACAAACCCCATGTATCATATTATAATTGTAAGTATTGCAGTATATTTCTTTAAAAAATAAAGAAGATGGGGCTGGATTGATGGCTTGGTGGTTAAGAGCACTAGCTGCTCTTCCAGAGGTCCTGAATTCAATTCACCCACATGGTGGCTCACAACCATCTGTAATGAGATCTGATGCTCTTCTGTCAGGCAGGCATACATGCAGACAGAACACTGTATACATAATAAACAAATCTTTAAAAAAAAATAAAAAATAAGGGCAGTCAGGCATGGTGGTGCTCTTTTAAGTCCCAGCTACACAGAGAAACCCTGTCTTGAAAATCAGAAAAATGGAGTGGGGGAAAGGGACTGGAGAGGTGATTAAAAGCACTGGCTGCTCTTCCAGAGGACACAGCTTCCAACTACCAGCACCCACAGCTCACAACTGTCTGTAACTCCAGTTCCAGGGGATATGGTACCCTTACACAAACATGTATGCAGGTAAAACATCAATGGATATAAGATAAAGATAAATAAGAAAAACAAAACAAACCCCCAAAAGATAAGGCTTTTTGTTTTGCATTGTTTTATTTTTTGCAAAAGGGTTTCACTATCTTACTCAGGCTAGCTTCAAACTCCTGGGCTCAAGTAATCTTCCTGCCTCAGCTTCCAGAGTAGCTGGGACCAGAGGGTTCATATGTATGCATCCCACTAACAAAAGGACCCTGCCCATTCTATTTGTCAGATGATAGAAAGTTACATAGTGATGTACCATTGGACATCATAGTGCTGTACCATTGGGCATACTCTCTGTTATTCCCTTATATCAATAGTTCTCAACCTTCTAATGCTGTGACCCTTTACCCTCATGTTGTGGTGACCCCAATCATAAGATTATTTTCATTGCTACTTCATAACTGTAATTTTGCTACTGTTATGGATTGTAATGTAAATATTTGGTATGTGACTCCTGTGAAAGGGGTCAGGACCCATAGGTTGAGAACCGCTTTCTTAGCTCAACAGCAACATTACAGTGGGCACACTGATACATAAACTGACTGGATGTTGAGTCTGGAGCCATGATGGGTTGGTTGTTGGTTAGAGGCTGCCTTAGCTGGGGTCATTGTCCTGCAGATTAGAGTAGAGGCTGACTGCCCGTAGGGCTGAGCAGTTATGGTCAGAGGCCATCTAGATCACTGGAGAGAAGAGAGGTAACTGAGGGAGGCAGGGAAGAAGGAGGAAATATACATGGTTGATAGCAATTGGAGTAGGGAATAGAAGAGGATGGGAAAGGGAAGAGTGCCCTAAGTTCCTAATCTTCTGGTTTGATTGACAGTGGTGTGAAGTGATAGTCATTCAGTGGAGACACACTTCTAATTTGGGTTCTCATTGTTTTCTGCTGTTGCAGTGAGCCATAGTTCCTGGTCAGCTAGCCATGAGTTCACGTGGATGAACCACCCATATGGTATAGTGTCTAGTGTGACCAATCGATGATGCTTAGTGGGTTACTTTGTCTGTTTTCTGTCACTATAAGAGAAATACCACAGAGTGAGGCATATATAAGCAGTGGTTTATTTGGCTTATAGTTCTGGAGGCTGAGCATTCTCCGTGTCTGTTGAGGGCCTTTGTGCTGTATAAGATGAACTAGTAGGAATGTGTGTAAGACAGAAACCCACTATTGCCTTTATCCTTTCATGAGAGCTGAATCCTTATGGCCTAGTCTCCTCTCAAGAGCCCTACCCCAGATTACATGTATTCCCAGCCCTTAGGAGGAAGAAGGAGGATTGGGAAAAAGTCATCTTTGGCTATATGAGACATCGTATCACCTGAAACCCACAGGAAGAAAAATCAAGTCCTACCCCTTAATGCTGTCACTATGGTCATAAAATTTCTCTGAGTTGTAAAGGAAACATTCAAACCAGGTAAGTAGGCTAGGTATCTTGCATTATTTATTTATTTATTTATTTATTTATTTATTTTTGAGACAGTGTCTCATGTAGCCCAAGCTGGCCTTAAATTTCTGAGTATTTACTGCTTCCATCCCCGAGTGATGGGGATATAGACATGCACTTCTGCATCAGAGTTACATTAAAAAACAAAACAAAACACTTACTTATTAATTAGTACATATGCACTTGCCATGGTGTGTGTGTGTGTGTGTGTGTGTGTGTGTGTGTGTGTGTGTGAGAGAGAGAATAATTTTGGGGAGTGGGTTCTTTTCACCACGTGGGTCCAGAGGGTCAAACTCAGGTTGTCAGGCTTGGCAGTCTTCACCCATGGCACTGTCTTAACAACCCCCAGGCTTATATTTTTAATTTACATTTTCAATGTAAAATGAATGAGTTCTTTGAGGCATAATCCCATTGGAGGCTGAGGAACCTCTGCATGTGTCAGGATGTCTGAGAAAAGCCTCTTGTTTCACTAGAGCCTACTCCTGTGGCAGCCACAGAGCTCCCCGAGGCTGGCGGTATGTCCTCCTGTTCTCGCAACATTTCAGCTTGTGAATCTTTGTGGCTTTTGTTTGCATTGGTAGATGAGATAAGTAAGAGGGAGCTTTAGAACCATCAAACAATGATGCCAGAGATGGGACCATTGGTCCTGTATGGAATGGCTACCGTCTCCTCTCAGGAGTAGAGGTTTGGTTGCCAACAAGTCTGAGATTATTGGATTCTTGCTTTTTTTTTGAAGAGTCCTTACTACCAAGACATGATGTGTTTACAAAGTTCAGTGGGAGGGACTCTTTAAAGTGGTATGTGAGCAAGGGTTACTGTCTCCTTTTCTCTCAAGTGTCTGCCTTCTATTCTCACAAATGGAGTGCCTAGGTAGTGCTGAGATCTGTTTGCAAGTAAGGCAAGGTAAAATAACTGTAGACTACAAAGTATCAGATTTTATCTATAACCTTAGCTCTTTGACTTTGTTGTCTAGTCCTAGTTTCTGCTTCTTAGTCGACTTTATAGTCTGTATAATTCCTACCCCCTCCAATTCTATTCTGTTTTCTTTTCAATTTTTATTTTTATTTTATGTGTATGGGTGTTCTTGTTTGTATGTGCATATGTATACTATGTGTGTGCCTGGTACCCTCAGAGACCAGAAAAAAGTGTTTTATCTCCTGGAACTAGAGTTACAGATAGGTGTTAGCTAGCCTTGGTCAAATGTGAGTCAAACCTGGTTCCTCTGGAAGAGAAGCCAGTGTCCTTAACCACTGAGCATCTCTTTAGCCCCCGTTCCATTTTCTTGTACATAGCAGTTTTATTGTGGGAAAACTCACCATGCAGTATCTTTACAATATATAATTTAGTGGGATTTGGTATGTTCATAGAGTTGTATCCCTTTATGATTCAGGATCAACCTGTGCCTTCCTCCTGGGTCCTAACTCCTAGTTCTTACAGCTAGCCTCTCATCTCCAGTGGCTTCTCAAGGATCTCATGCTCAGACAGATGTCCTTGTTCTTGGGATGTTGGCCAATAGGTGTTTGTTTGTTTTTCGAGACAGGGTTTCTATGTGTAACAGTACTGGCTGTCCTGGAACTCACTTTGTAGACCATGCTGGCCTCAAACTCAATGAGACCCTCCTGCCTCTGCCTGCCAGGTGCTGGGACTAAAGGAGTGCCCCACCACTGCCTGGCTGTTGTTTCATTATTAAAATATTCAGATTTAACCAGTTTCTGTATGGCTTCAGGAATCTTAGACAAGGGCAACTTCAGATAGACCCTATTCTACTCACAAGACCTATCACCCCTTAAGGCCTTTCTTTATGAGAGTCTCAGGGGCTGGGGTTATAGGCAAGTGTATGTTCAGTATGTATAGTGACCTGTGTTTGGTTTCTAGTCCCCAGAACAAGTCTTAAAAACTACACAGAAACATGTTGCATATTTGCCAAATACTGGGTTGGTAATATATTTACTTGGGAATCTATGACTGTTCTTGAATAATCTCAGCTTTGAACAAATGATTTTTGTGAGATTCTTTTTATTTTTATTTTAAATGCATTGGTGTTTTGCCTGAATGTATGTCTGTGTGAGGGTGTCAGAACAGACCGTTGTGAACTGTCATGTGGGTGCTGGGAATTGAACCCTGTCCTTTGAAAGAGTAGTTAATGCTTTCACCACTAAACCATCTCTCCAGCCCCGATCTTGTGAGATTCTAATGGTGGATCACCTTCCGGTAAACACTTAGGGTTTGTAAACAAATAAGGAAATGGATGGTAATATTTGTTTAGTGATCATAAGTGCTGTGAAAAAAAAGTAAGGCAGAATAAAGAGCTGGACACTAGGAATGGGGTGAACATGGAGAGCACCCACCTAAATTAAAGATTTGTAGGACACGAGGAAGTGAGCCCACAGTTAATGTAGAACAGGAACCTTCTTGTCTCTCTGTGTATCCCAGGCTGGTCTCCAACTCAGCCTCCAAAATTATGGGATTATATAGGTATTTGTCAAGTGGGCAATGACTTGTAAGTCAGAGAGAGCAGGAAATGTACAGGTTCTGAGGCAGGAGTATTCCCATAATGCTTGAGGAATGGTAAGGAGATTTATGGGTGCCATGACAGACTTGATAAGAGGGAATCATCTTATAGGAAAGACATGCCAGTGAGATGCAGCAGGCTGTGTGGGCTGCAAGAAAGACGAGCTTATTCAGGATGAGACAAGATGGTGCTGGAGCCGGATGAGAGGGGGGCCATTGTGTGACTTAACATATTCAAAACAGTATTTGGCTGTTATGTTGACCGTGGCTATTACAGGCCAGGCCAAAATCTAGGAGAGCTGTTGCTGGTGAGAGTGGCTGGATTTGGATGTATCTTGAAAGTATAGTGCATGGTATTTGCTTGTGGGTTAGGTGGAAGGCATGAAGGAAAGAAAAAATTTGGCCTCACACCTGGAAGGATGGATAGCAGTGTCACTGAGGAAGGATGAGTGTGAGAGGAAATTACAAGTTGCTATTAGATCTATTAGATGTGAGGTGTCTTTTAGAAATCCAAGTCTAGTAGTGCTAATTAATAATTTAGTGAGTTCTTACTGAAGGCTTGTAAAGGCAGGAAAGCAAACGCTTTACTGAAAGCAACTGTAATGGTAGAGTTATGCCATGAGGGAGAATAAGTAAAACAAAGGGAACTAGGGTGACTTCTGAAGGAATCCCATGCCCTCACTGTGCCTTCAGCAACAGGTCTGAGCTCCAGGGTAGGATTTGAGCCTTGAGCTTTGTGTCTCCATGAGCATCAACTTTTGTAACCTGTATTTTCCATGTGTAAAATCAAGAGGTTTGGCCAGAACAATTCTAAAAACAACAGGAAGCATTGACCCAGCCCTATTGAGTCAGTTGCTGTGCCTGGATACTGAGCATATGTTTAGTTACTTGCATGCTGTTGTTACTACTACTATTATTTTACATGTATTACATTGTATTTCTTTGTGTGTATATGTGCACACATGCCATGGTACAAATATGGAAGGCAGAGAACACTTGGAGGACTTGTTTCTCACCTTTCACTGTAGTTCACAAAACAACAGCACAGAGATTTACTATTAATTATGAAAGTTCGGTCTATAGCTTCTGCTTGTCCCTAACTAGTTCTTGTAACTCAAATTAACCCTTATTTTTTGATCTATGTTCTTTTATGCGGCTCGGTTACCTTTACTCTGTACTGCCCATCCTGCTTCCTTTGAATCTCGGCTGGTGACTCTGCCTTTTTCCTCTACTAGTCCTCTCTGACCCCAGAAGTCCCACCAAACCTCTTCTTGCCTAGCTAATAGCCTTTCAGCTCTTTCTTAAACCAATCACAATGACACATCTTCATACAGTGTAAAGGAATATTCTGCAGCATGCGACCAATTCTCAGCTTTAGTGATTGGTGCCTTTTCCTGCTCAGTTGTTTTGTTGGCCCCTGGCACTTGGAAGTCACCAGACATAATTTTGGAGGTCTTCTTCTTACATCCTGTGTACAGTCTGTGCCTGCCATAGAACAGCTGTTTCTTATCTACCTTTCTAAGGCTGAGACTCCTTAGGCTGTTTTTCTTTTTTCTTTCTTTTTTGTTTTTTTCTTTTCTTTTTTTTTTTTTTAATTGCTTGAATAGCAGGTGTCTCATGGACACTCACTCAGAACATGTGTGATTTTTGGGTCACTTGACCTATAATATAAGCAAGTCTAGATTATGTCCAGGAGAGTTGTGATATGTATATGCAAGGGTCTGTTTTTCTGCATTAGGAGGCAGTACTTATGTAGGAATTTATTAGATGTGTATAACTTTGCCCAGTTGTTGTAGCCTTGTATGTTCAAGAACACAAGTCCTTAAGGCTAGTTTAATTTTACATTTTTAACGAAGTCTAACAGCATAGTGAGGAGAAAGCCAGTTTCTTTGTTTGTTTGTTTGTTTGTTGCTTTTGTTTTTCAAGACAGGGCTTCTCTCTGTAGCCTTGGTTGTCCTGGCACTTGCTCTGTAGACCAGGTTGGCCTCGAACTCACAGAGATCCTCATGCCCCTTCCTCCTGAGTGCTGGGACTAAAGGCGTGCGGCACCACTGCCTGTGGCCCCTGTCATTTTCTGGTGGAGGACACTGAGCTCCAGCAAATGGTTCACTATCAACCACTGCTCCCCCTCTAGCACATGCTTTCCCAGCACTGCAGAGGGACCAATCTGTTGTCCCTTTCTTCAGCTTTCTTCCCCTAGGCATGGGAAGGCAGGAAGAAAGGGAGGGACCCTTTGGAACAGGGGTCCTGAAGGCATTTCCTCATGTGCTGCCCTGCACATTGGAATGCCTATATCTAACTGCCGGTTGTTGATGGACTCCAACACCTAGTCCAGGAGACAAACATTGGTTCTGTTTAAAACCTTAGTCTTATTCCACTGGGGCAGTCTGCCTGCCTATGGTTAAATAGCTGGTATTTTACTTTGCCGTTATCCAACCATAACTGGATATCTTCCCACTGGGGGAGAGTATGCTTTTCTCCTTTCTGTGAGGACTCCTAGGTAGGGAGCTATTTTTTGTTGAGTGTTTGGGGTATGGGTGGTTATGATGTGAGAAATGGTGGTAAGAGAAACACTTTCATCCTTCCATCTTCTTCTCTTATGGTTCTAATTCTCCTTTTTTTCCCTCTTTAAATTTTAGAAAAGCAATTTATTAGTCTAACAAGTGTTTACAGAAATAACTTGCTCGTAATTTCATCACCATAAATAGCTCCAATAGATACTTAATGTTATAATATATTATTATCATGATGTGATAATACTTTTGTACTAGTCTTTAAAATTAACAAGTAGTTTTCTGTGTTTTGTAGATTATTGCCTTCTTTTTGGAGTACATAATGTTAGATGTTTAACTATTCCCCATTCTTAGGTGCTTACTGTAGGCCTTGAATTTCCTGTTTAAGAAAGGATGACCTTGACCTTATGACCTTCCAGCTTCCACCTCCAGAGTGCTTGGTTTATAAATATTCTCCACCCACATGGTTCGCACCCCCTCATACTCTATTTGGTGCTGGAATCAGACTGACAAAGTCCTTTTTTGGACGCTAGCACCCAGCTGGAGAGATCCACTCCCTCAGCCTCAAGGTTAATTCTTAAGACTACAGACATTGATATCTCTATGTGATATTTTCTTTTTTTATTTCATTGTCTTTATTAAGAAGGCTAGAGAGATGGCTCAGCAGTTAAGAGCACTTGTTCTTGCAGAGGGTCCCAGTTGATTCCTAGCACCCACGTAGTGGCTTACAACTCTCCATAATGGGATTCTGTGTACTTACATAGGCGCTAGGCTCACACATGGTGCACAGATGTACATGTGAGCAAAACACATATACATTTGAAAGACGTTAAAAAGAGATTTCAGTAGAAGAGTCAGCAGCAGCAGCAGCAGCCAGGCATGGTGGTGCGCACCTTTGATTCCACCATTTGAGAGACGGAGGCAGGTGGATCTCTGTGAGTTAGAGGAAAGCCTGGTTTACACACTGAGTTCCAGGACATCCAGGGATATATAATGAGTCTCTGTTTAAAAAATCAGAAGGAGAAGAAATCATGGAAGAGGGAGGGAAGGGGAGGAAGAAAATACATATGAATATGAATTATACATGCTGCAAAGATCCCTGGAGACCCTGGCAGTGGTTGCAGAAGACTCTAGGCACCATTTGTTCCTCATATTTGTGTGTGTGAACTATGTGAGCCACCCAGAGTGTGAACATATGCCAGTGAGATATAGGTAATGAGGGCAGAGGTAATGGGGAGGCCTGAGGGGTGTGTGGCTCAACTGGATAGGAGGGCATCTTCCCTCTGTTATGGTCACATTGGTCCAAGTATTGAGGTCAACACTTTCCAGGCAAGCTTGTCACTATCTACAAGCTTCTCTTTTTAGACTCCCCTACCTTTCAGCAGTCTAGAAATCTCTTAGGGTGAAGCTCAGGTATGTGACTTCCTCCTGTAGAAGGTAGAGTCTGCAGAGGCCGGCTAGCTGTGTGTATGGGTTAGTGATGAATATTCAGTAAGATGATGTGGGATGGTCAGTGCAGCCCTGGTGGTCACTGATTCTGTTCTTTGTTTCTCTTACAGCTCTTGTTAGCATCCAGCCATGGGGGATATGAAAACCCCAGATTTTGATGACCTTCTGGCTGCCTTTGACATCCCAGATCCGACAAGTCTTGATGCCAAGGAGGCCATCCAGACACCCAGTGAGGAGAATGAGAGTCCCTTGAAGTCTTCAGGCATGTGTATGGATGAGAGTGTGTCCTTGTCTCACTCAGGATCAGCCCCAGATGTGCCGGCCGTGAGTGTCATTGTCAAGAACACCAGTCGTCAAGAGTCATTTGAAGCAGAGAAAGACCACATTGCTCCTAGTCTCCTACACAATGGATTTCGGGGTTCAGACCTGCCTCCAGACACCCACCATGGTGGGAAGTTTGATTCTACTTTCATAAATGGAGACAGTGCTAGGAGTTTCACAAGCAAGCTAGAGACTTCCAAGTCTGAGCCATTACCTACCTTCAACCAGTTCAGCCCGATCTCTAGCCCAGAACCTGAGGATCCTGTCAAAGATAATGGGTTTGGGATAAAGCCCAAGCACTCTGATAGTTATTTCCCACCTCCTCCTGGGTGTGGGGCTGTGGGGGGCCCAGTCTTGGAAGCTCTGGGTAAGTTCCCGGTCCCAGAGCTACACATGTTTGATCACTTTTGTAAGAAAGAACCCAAACCAGAACCCTTGCCTTTAGAGAGCCAGCAGGAGCATGAGCGGGGTGGGCCAAAGGTGGCAGGGCCGCCCAAAGATCTGGATTCCAGTCGGTTCTTTGGGGAAGCTTTAGAATTCAATAGTCACTCCAACAACAGTATCGGAGAACCCAAGAAGCTTGCCCCAGAGCTTAGTGCTTGCTCCTCTGTGCCCCCTAGGCAGCGCTTGAAACCAGCCCATTCCAAACTATCCTCTTGTGTTGCCGCCTTGGTGGCCCTACAGGCCAAAAGGGTGGCCAGTGTCACCAAGGAAGACCAGCCTAGTCACACAAAGGATTCCTCAGGGCCCATTAAAGAGGGTTCTAAAAGCAGCCCCAAAATGCCCAAGTCACCAAAGAGTCCCCGGAGCCCTCTGGAGGCCACTAGAAAAAGTATCAAGCCATCAGACAGCCCTCGGAGCATCTGCAGTGACAGTAGCAGCAAAGGGTCCCCCTCTGTGGCTGCCAGCTCCCCACCAGCAATTCCCAAAGTCAGAATCAAAACCATTAAGACGTCATCAGGGGAAATCAAACGGACTGTTACAAGGATCCTGCCAGACCCTGATGATCCCAGTAAGTCCCCTGTTGAGTCACCGCTAGGGAGCACCATTGCTGAGGCCCCAAGTGAGGTGCCAGGGGATGAGGGCACAGCCCTGCCTATGGAAGAGCACTTTTCTGAGGCAGGCATAAATTCAGGGAGCCCCCAGGGGGACAGAAAAGGGGATGAGAGCATGATGAAGGCTAGTGACTCGTCTTCTCCCTGCCGCATCCCTGGGTCCCGGGCCCCAAAAGGAGCTTCCCTGAACTCACAGGCAAGCAAGAAGCAACAGAGCACAGCACTTCAGGCATCAACCCTGGCCCCTGCCAGCCTATTGCCCAAAGCTGTGCACTTGGCCAACTTGAACCTGGTCCCCCACAGTGTTGCCGCATCTGTGACTGCCAAGTCCTCAGCACAGAGACGGAGCCAGCCTCAGGTCACGCAAATGACAGTGCCTCTGGTTCATCAGGTGAAAAAGGCCGCCCCTCTAATCGTGGAGGTCTTCAACAAGGTCCTCCACAGCTCTAATCCTGTGCCCCTCTATGCGCCAAATCTCAGCCCACCTGCAGACAGCAGAATCCATGTGCCGGCCAGTGGATACTGCTGCCTGGAGTGTGGAGACGCGTTTGCCTTAGAGAAGAGCCTGAGCCAGCATTACAGCCGGCGGAGCGTCCACATCGAGGTGCTGTGCACGCTGTGCTCCAAGACGCTGCTCTTCTTCAACAAGTGCAGCCTGCTGCGGCACGCCCGTGACCACAAGAGCAAGGGACTAGTCATGCAGTGTTCTCAGCTACTTGTGAAGCCCATCTCTGCGGACCAGATGTTTGTAACGGCTCCTGTGAACTCCACAGCACCAGCGACCCCAGCCGCTTCTTCCTCCCCCAAACCCAGCCCCTCTTCAGGCAATGCCAGCTCTGCAATCCCAGCCTTGCCACTTTACCCAGATCCAGTGAGGCTCATCCGGTATGGAACCAAATGTCCTGAATGTCACAAGCAGATGCGAGACTATATGGTTCTGGCTGCACATTTCCAGAGGACAACAGAGGAAACTGAGGGGCTGGTAGGTAGACCGTTACTATGTTGGTTGTTGGGCCTCAGGCTCATACAGGTTCCATGACAGGGACTGGAGAACGCCCATTAATGTGGGAGCAGTGGTAGAATCTTTGTGGAAAGGGAGGATAAACATAGGATAAGATTAAAGCCTGGCTACCTTAGTGGGTAGAGCATGACACTCTTAATCTCAGGGTCATGGGTTTGTGCCCCACGTTGGGCGCCAAACTGTAAAAGGAGTTCTTACTTGGCCTTTATAATAAAAACCTGGAGTCAGATAAAGAGGAAAATGCTGAGAGATCAGAGAGAAGAAGGAGCAAGCCACAGCCACACCTTACCTCTTCAGCATCTCAGCAGACAAGAGTTCTTGAGTTCCTATTTCTCCCTGCTTATATCTTCTCTTCTCCAAGCTATCTCACTTCCTGTCTATCTGTACAGACCTCCACCTCTATGGTTAGCTAGAGACAAGCTCCATTCTCTGACTTTCAGACAGACTTTATTTGTACAAGCAAAATGTCACCACAAATCTTAAAGACTTAGAAGAGGACATCTGGTTAGTGTCTCATCTGAATATATAGTGCTTGGTTTTAATTTGGAAAGACATCCTACCCATACCTTTGGGGAAAGCCTGCAGATCTAGCAAGTTATTTAGTGAGGGGTGGTGACATATGCTTATCATTCCAGTACTTACAAGGCTAAGGCAGGAGGATCATGAGTTTGAGGCCAGTCTGGGTTATAGCAAGACTCTGTCTTATCAAATAAAAACAAAGCAGTATCTTTATGGACATATCCCATGTTCCACTCCCAGTCAGACTGGCAGTTGTTTGACCCAAAATCAGGCCTGTTAGGGCTTGGCTTGGGTGGTCTCTTTCTGGCCTCTAGCAGATAGCATGTGCCCAAAGAACCTGAGGATAGGGGTGGGTGAATCACTGCCTTGTCCCTTAGTCTGTTTTCTAAGAACTATGTCTTTAAGCCATTCTACCCCTCATAGACAGGGCTGTTGAGCACAGCCTCTTTGGAGACAGGGCCAGAGACAAGGCTGAGGTAAAAGAAGAGTAGGTAGGCATGTAGGCCCCATGCAGAGACTTTGTAGGTGTCTGTCTTTTAGCCATATTCTCCCAGCTCTAGAAAAGGAGTTGAGCTTTTCTGCTTGTTCTGATTCCCAGTTAGAGGTGGTGAGGTATGTGGTTTGTTTTGAAAGGTACTTGGTGCTGTACTCTTAGTGCCCTTGATATTGCTAGCAGATTCTGTCAAGAAGGTAGCCTCGAGTTGTGTTTATACATAGTTATAATCCCAACATGTTGGAGCTGGAGGCAGGAGGGCCAATGTTGTAAGACTATATCTTTAAAAAACAGAAAGGACTCCAGATTGGACTGTGTGTGTTTATTTGTCCATGTGCAAGCATGCACATGCATGCAGATTACAAAGAACATAATAAAGTTTCTTCTTATTTCCTTGTGACAGGGTCTTTTTGAATCGGAGGCTCACCATTTTGCTTAGGTTGGCTGGCCAACAAGCTTCCAGGATCTGCCTATTACCACCCCTCAACACTGGGGTTGCATTCGTGCACAGCCATACACAGCATTTTTACACAGGTGCTGGGGAGTCTAGTCTAACTCAGGCCCTCATGCCTGCACAGCAAGTGCTCTTTCCCATTGAACTATCTCTTCCAACCTTTTTACTGTGCTTCCCTTAGCCAGGGTGTGTATATTAGTTTGCTTTCTGTTGCATAACAAAGATTATAATCACTGGCTAGAGAAATGGCTCAATGATTAAGAGCATTTGTTGTTCTTGTAGAGGACCCAGGTTTGATACCTGGCACCTACATGTTGGCTCACAAACACCCATAACTGCAATTTCAGAGGATTTGACACACTTCTCTAATGTCCAGAGACACAGGCTTACACATTGTACACATACATATATGTACATGTGGGCAGAATACTCGTACATGTAAAAATAAAATAAATCTTGAAAAAAAAAAAAGCCCAGGTGTGTTTATATACATCTTTGGTCCCAGCACTGGGGAGGTGGAGGCAGATGGATCTCTAGCCTGGTCTACCTGAACTGGGACTTGCTGTGTCAGTCATTAATTAAGAAAATGCCCTATATTCTTGCCTATAGCCATCTGATGGGGGGCATTTGCCCAATTGAGGTTTTTCTTCCCAGATAAGTCTTGCTTGTGTCAGGTTGACAGAGGAACAGCTAGGACACAGGGCTGCAGAGACCTACTAGGAGAACAGAGAGCTCTTTACATTCCAGTCCAGCCCGGGTCACTGTGCCAGGCTCTGTACTGCTCAGGGGATGCTAGCGGGGGGAGTCACAACTTTCTCTATAACTATGCTGTCTTTACACCTAGTAAAATTGGTAACATTCTTTAGTATTACACTATACAAATCTACATTCAAGCTTTCCTAATTACATTTAAAAAAAAATCTTACAATGGGCTTTTTTATTGCTTATTTATTTTGAAAGCCTCTACCTCTCACATACTAGGAATACAGTAATGCCCCTGCCATATCTATCTTTTTAACAAACACCTGGTTTCCTTAAGTAACCCAGACTAGCCTCAAACTCATGACCTCCTGCCAGGTGCTAACCAAAGTCACAGATGTATGCCACCATGTTTGCCTTACTTGTTTGCTAGCTTGCTTGTTTGATTTTGTTTGTTTGTGTTTATAATGCAGGGTTTCTAGTGTAGAACTTCAAGCATGCATGACTAGCATTCTATCTCTGAGCTATATCCCTGGCCTGTATCCTATTCCGGCCACATACAAATCACGTATAACATTGGTCTATTTTCTTCTTTTTTTTCGTTATTTTTGGTTTTGTTGAAACAGGGTATCACTCAATATGTAACCACAGTGGTTCTGGAATTTGTAGCAACCCTTCTACCTCAACCTCCCAAGTTCTGGGATTCTAGGCATTAACTGCCTGGCTGTTGACAGTACATTTTCCCACTCCACCCGACCTGTGTCATTTGCTTTCTTGGTGTTTCTTCCTAGACTTGCCAGGTATGCCAGATGCTGCTGCCAAATCAATGTAGTTTCTGTGCACACCAACGGATTCATGCACACAAGTCTCCCTACTGCTGCCCGGAGTGTGGTGTCCTCTGTCGCTCTGCCTACTTCCAGACTCATGTAAAGGAGAATTGCCTGCACTATGCTCGAAAAGTGGGCTACAGGTGGGTGTTCCGTAGCTCACTGTCCTGGTATTGCTCAATGGCAAGTCCTTTGCCAGGCTGAAATTTGTTTTATACTGAGATTTGGTTTTTAAGAACCCAGTGTGTTGTGTGTATGTGTGTATTGGGGAAGGGGATTCTGGTGAATGGTTCATTGTTACCCACTGATGAGTCTAATGACCTGAGTTTGATACACTTTACTGACATAGTAGGAGAGAAACAACTCCTATGACCTACACACACACACACACACACACACACACACAGCATGTTAGCTGGTGGGCATGAGTTGTAGCTGAGTTGGTAGAGTGCTTGTCTAGCATGTTTGAAAGGCCTGGATTTGATCCCTAGCACCATATAAAAAAACTGGGCATGGTCACACAGGCCTGTTATTCCAGCTCTTACGAGTTGGAGACAGAAAGATCAGGAGTTCAAGGTGAGCCTGGGCTATCTGAGACCCTGCCTCAAAAAACAAACAAAAGCAATGTTGATTGGTGGGTGGATAGATGTTTTGCTTTATAGAGGAAAGGAAGGACAAGAGAGAGAAATTAGTTATTAAAAAGTTAAATATTAAATATTAAACCAGGTGCAGTGGTACACTCTTGTAATTCTGGAATTTGGGAGGTAGGTAGAGGTAGCCTTTGGTAACTCATGGTAACCCTTGGATTCTTAGCAAGTTTAAGTCTAGCCAAGAGCACAAGAGACCATTTCTTGATCTACAATAGCATGGCTGGGAAGATGGTCCAGTATCAAAGTACTTGCCATATAAGTGAGGACTGGAGTCTGGATCCCCAGAACCTGTACAAAAGCCAGGCAGGAGTCCCAGCATTTAGGAAGCAGGGACAGCAGATCGCAGGGCAGGCATCTTTGGTTCAGTGAAAGACCCTGCCTCAAAAAATAAAGTGAAGAATGAGGGAGGAAGAGATCCAATATCAACCTTGTGTCACTACACACAACTGTACATATGTGTGCGCTCACACAGATAAGTCTGTATACACACATATCACACGCGAAAAATAAGTTTAAAAACCCTCGAAACACAAAAATCAAATTAAATATTAGAATAAATGGCCTTGAAGGGGAAGTGTATATTTAGTTTGTCAATTTGTCTAACTCCTTCCTTCTTGTTTTGTTTTTGTTTTTTTCTTTATTTCTTTTTTGCCTGACTTATTTTGTATGTCTGGTTGACCTAAAATTGCACCCCTCTTTCCTTTGCACATACATACACTCACATGTATACACATATGTACATATGCATGTATACATATGTAACAACAAACCACAGCTGGCATTTTCTTTGATTTTTTTTTTTTTTTTTTTTTTTTTTTTGAGACAGGGTCTCATATTGGCCTGGACCTTTTTTATATGTTACACAAGCTAGCTTCAAATTGACAGCCACCTTCCCTTGGCCTCCAAAATGCGGGGGTTACAAGTGACACACTCATGCCTAGCTTGTCAGCTTGGTTTTTAAAAGTATATATATATATATATATATATATATATATATATATATATATATATATTTAGTGGAGCATGGAGGCATGTGCTTATAACCTCCAATATCAGGAAGTAAAGACATGAAGGATAAGAGGAATTAAAAGCCAGGAGCTGGAGGAATGGGGTAGTAGTTAAGAGCTATGGCAGGTCTTCCAGAGGACTTGGATTCAGTTGTCACACCAACTTGGCAGCTAGCAGCTATCTGTGCCTCTATTCCCATGGGATCTGATGCCCTCTTTTGGTTTCCACAAGTACTGGATACACATGGTGCATAGTTATATGCACAAACAACTCCCCCATACATATAAAATAAAAATTAATAAACCTTATTTTATTTTTTTCTTGGCTGTACCTTGGCTTTTTTCTTTTTCTTTTTTGTTATTATTATTATTTTTTATTTTTATTTTACATGTTGATCCCAGTTCTGTCTCCCTCCCTTTTACCCTCTCTTCCCCCTCACCACCCTCTCCTCCCCTCCCCCACCCCAATTCCACATGTAGGGCAATGCCATCCAGGTGGGGTCATGTAGGTCTGTCAGGTCATTTAAAGTAGGGACTTGGACTTCTCTCCTGTCTCTAGGTTAAGGCAGTATCCCTCCATGGGGGATGTGTTCACAAGGTCCTTTTGTGTACCAGGTATATATCCTGGTTCCACTGTTTGAGGTCCCTTAGACTGCTCAGTCCTTCTAGCTGAGATCCTTATTAAGGGTCTGAGTCAGTCCCATGCTGGATTCCCAGCTCATTAGCTCCTCCTTGTTCAGGTCAGATGTCTCTATGTAATAAACCTTATTTTAAAAAAAAGTTTAAGCTGGGTGGTGTGGGGCACACCTTTAGTCCCAGCACTCAGGAGGCAAGAGGCAGGCAGATCTCTGTGAGTTTGAGATCCGCCTGGTCTACAGAGCTAGTTTTAGGCCAGCCTCTAACCGTGTCTCAACCCCCCACTCCCCAAAAGACAAACGTTTAAGGCTGGGCAGTGGTGGCACACTGGGGAGGCAGAACCAGGCATATCTCTATGAGTTCCAGGACAACATGAGTGAGTTACAGGACAGCCAGGGTTACATAGGGAAAACCTGTCTTAGCGGGGGGAAAAAATAGTTCAGGTTAAAGGCACTTACTGTTTTTACAGAGGACCTGAGTTCTGTTCCCTATATGCACATCACAACTACCCATAACTAAAGCTATAGGGATTTGGTGCCATCTTTTAGCTTTGTGGGCATGCATACATGAGGCATACACATAGATGTACATATGCACACGTAAGCAAAAAAAAAAAAAAAAAACAAACAAAAGGAGGTCTTAAGGTTAGCCTGAGTTACATTGATAGTGTTTTTCAAAATCACACACACACATTATAACTCAGAATGGAATGAATGGTCAGGGAACTTTCCTAGTTACTGTTCTATTGCTGTGATGAAACACCATGACCAAGGCAACTTATAGAAGAAGCTTAGAGTGAGCCATCAAGTCAGGGAGTGTGGTGGCGGGCAGACTCAGCTACTGGATCAGTAGTGAGAGCTCATGTCTGATCTGCAAATTGCAGGCAGAAAGAGAGATTGGACCTGACATGGGCTTTTTTGTTTGGTTTGGTTTTTGTTTTGTTTTGTTTTGGTTGGTTGGTTGGTTGGTTTTTGAGACAGCCTTGGCTGACCTGGAACCCACTTTGTAGACCAGGCTGGCCTCGAACTCACAGAGATCCACCTCCCTTTGCCTCCCAGGTGCTGGGATTACTGGGATCAAAGGTATGCGCCACCACGACCTGGCCTGGCATGGACTTTTAAAAATTCAAAGCTCACCCCTAGTGACACATATCTAACAAGGCTATATCTACTCCAACAAGGCCACACCTCCTAATCCTTCCCAAACAGTTCTACTAACTGGGGGAACTAAACATTCAGACAGCCTGTGGTGGCTATTCTCATTCAAATCACCACAGGCATTTTCGGAGGTTTTCAAGCAGAAGGGTATATATGTCGAGGTAGAGATAGGGAGACTAGCGAACACAAAAGAGATTACCAGGGTTGTGAGCAGTTGTGTGGAAAAGGTATGTGAATATGACCTGGGGGAATGGTAAGAAATGAGCTGGGGAGGTGGCAGGGCCAGGCTAGGCTACACCTATGTTCATTGACAAACTTGAGGACTTTAGCCAGGGTAGTGAAGAGCTGCAGAAAGGCTTACATCAAGCATGTGGTCTGGCTCGTCAGACTTTTGGGTAAAAGTTATATTCATTCATTCTTGTGGAGATCAGAGAACAACTTGTAAGAATCAGTTCACTTCTACTATGTGGGTCCTGGGAATTGCCCTCTCTAAGAGACAGCTCAGCAGTTAAGAGCACATACTGCTTTTGTAGAGGACCTGAGTTTGGTTCCCAACATCCATACTGAGCAGCTCACAACTACCTGTAACTCCAGGAGATCTGATTCCCTCTTCTGGCCTCTAGACATCGAACTCACATGCATATATTCATATATAGACACATACCTAACATTAAAAATAAATTCCTTTTTCTAGAGCAAAACAAAATAAAAGCTCCCAGTACCTTCTAAACTTTTAAGTTTATGCAGCTAATTCTAAGATCAAATCCAATCTAATAATAATTCATTCAACACCAAAATGTTTAGGGGAATGTGTCTTTTTCTTTCATCTTTTTTTGAGACGAGGTCTTATATGGCTCTGGCTGGTACTTTCTATGCAGACCAGGCTGGCCTTGAATTCAAAGAGATCTTCCTCTGCCTCCCACGTGCTGGGACTGAGGCATGTGCAGCCATACCCACCATCGTGATACTTATATTCTAATCTTTTCTCTCCTAAATTGTAGGGCTTGAGCCCAAGGCTTCAAGTGCTAGGCAAGTGATCTACCACAGAGATGCTTTCTCCGTCTCTGTCTTTGAGTCTTTAGTTCTAGACATTCCCAATTGCACAGGTTGGCTCACAGCTTCACACTTCACGTTCTTCCTGCCTTCGGTTTCTTAGTATTAAGAACCTGGGAATGCACTATCATACCTGGTAAACTTTATTTTAATTAAATATTTATTTTACTTCTTTAAGAATAAAAAGATAAAATGTGTTAAAAGCAATTAAATTGTCAAGCCTTTTTTATGAGGAATGCTATATGAAACATTGTTCTGAGGAGAGTGACATTAAAATGTTCAAAGGACTAGTATTGAACTCAGAAGACACATGTCAATAAAGGGTTTAATCACAGCACTTGGGAGGCAGAGGCCAACCTGGTCTACAGAGGGAGTTCTGGGACAGCAAGGACTGTTACACAGAGAAATCCTGTCTTGGGGGGGCAAGTGTGTTTAGGGGAGTACTTAATTTCCTCAACTATTACTTTTTACAAAAAGAATTATTTTTATTTATGTTTATGCATGTGTGTTTATGCATGCCAGAGATGTGCAGATGCCAGAAGAGAACATGAGTCCCTTGGGGCTGGAGTTACAGGTGGTTGGGAGCTGCCTTGGGTCCTGATGTGGTGCTAGGAACTGACTGAACTTGAGACCTGGAAAAGCAGCAAGTGCTCTTGACCACTGAGCCATCTCTTGACCCCCTTTATCATTTATTGATTTATTTATTGTGGTGTTTGATTGGTTAGTTTTTTTGAGAAAGGGTCACTCTGTGTAGCTCTGGCTGTCCTGGAACTCACTTTGTAGACCAGGCCTGGAACTCAGAGATTCACCTGTCTCTGCATCCAGAGTGCTGGTATTAAAGGCGTGTGCTACTATGCCCAGCAGTTTTTGTTTATTTTGAAACAGGGTTTCCCTATGTAGCTGAAATTGGACTGTAACTCACAATGTAACCCAAGCTGGCTTCAGATTCATGGCAATCTGCCTGCCTTGGTCTCCTCTGTGCTGGGATTGCAGGAGTGAGCCACACACCTCCTGCTTCCTTTCTTTTGAAAGGTGTAACTAGGAATACCAAATCCACATTCTGTGGTTAGTTTTTTGAGGCACTGGCCGACTGTTTTCCAAAGCTGGTGTACCACTTTGAATTCCTACCAGCAGGGTATGAAGTGTTTAATTTTTTGTCTTTGCCAACATTTGTTACTGAGTTCCTTGTTAGATGTGTGAATTGTAGTATTTCTTCCCATTCTGGTGCTAATGCTGTTTACTAAAAAGGTAACTGCTCCATTTTACTGAATGTTACTACAGAGTTTTACAATGTTAGTTTATATTTTGTATTCTTTCTGCTTTTCTTTTTTAGGACTATGCTAAAAAAGCTTATATGAGATATGTATGTATGTATGTATATATGTATATGTGTGTGTGTTATATAATTTGTATGCATTTTCTGTAAAGTATATGTATATATATATATGTTTTAGGAAACTAAAGTTTTGATTACTCTTATTCTTTTGATAATTTCATATGTGGATATAATGTATTTTGGCTAATTCCCACTTTTCTCCCATTTCTATCAACCTCTATCCTCCATCCCTACCAGTCTCTTTTCCAGAGTCATATGACTTAGTATTTAGTTTAACCAGGGTCATCTGTGTGAGCATTGAACTGGAACTATCCATTGATCCTGGTGGAATCACCAATACCCAACTGAAAGCAATGACTTCCCCTGTCCCCTGAATTTCTCAATAGGAAATAGTTTAGCAGCGAGTGATATGTGCCCTCTTCCCCCAATCTCTATTCCCTCCACCTATAGAGGAGCCCATTTTTTTTTTTTTTTTTTTTTTTTTTTTTTTTTTTATCTTTTTCTTTTGGGTTTTGAGATAGGGTTTTCTTGTATAGCCCTGACTGTACTGGAACTTACTCTGTAGACCAGGCTGGCCTCAAACTCAAAGAGATCCGCTTGCCTCTGTTTCTGCCTTGCTGATATTAAAAGTGTACATACACTACTACCACTGGCCTGAGGAGCTCATTCTTATGCCTTGATGCTATGAATTCCTGATGGCGGTGGCTGTGTCTTGTTCAGAAGATGGCATTTTAAACCCTTTTCCTATCTTTTGACTCTTAGATTCTCTTTTTAAATTTAGTTTTACTATTTTTGAAATTAATTTTATTTATTATAGGTGTTTGTCTATGAACAACATGTGCATACCTAGTATCCACAGAGACCAGAAGAGGGGGCCAGAGCCTCTGGAACCAGAGTTACAGATGGTTTTTAGTCACTATGTGGGTGTAAGGAATCAAACCCAGTCCTCTGGAAGAGCAGCCAGTGCTTCTAACTGTTGAGCCAGCTCTCTAGCTGTCTCATCGTCTTTCTGCCCTCTTAGCCATAAATGTTTTAGAGTTTTAAAACTTAATCTACCCTCTTTAAATAATTTGGAATGTGGCCAATGATGTATAAGAAAACATGATTACACTATTTAAACAATATATTGGTTTTTTATTGCTGATAATGAACAACATTAAATATTATACACTTATTTCTTTTAAAATTTTACATGTTTCACAGCATATAATTATAAAATTGTCTTCCTTCTTTTTAAAAATGTGGTTATGGGATGGAAGCACTTCTGTGTGCCAGAAGTTGATTTTACTTTGTGTATGTGTGCATTCATGATGTGTGTGTGTGGGTGTGTGTGTTGGTTTGTTTGTGTAGGCCTGTGGACAACTTATGAAAGTCAGTAGTTTCCTCCCATTTGGATTCTGAGACTTGCTATGCCTAACCATCTTGCTGGCCTGGAACTGAATTTGTATTGTAATTTCATTCATTTAAAAATGTAACAACCACATTATATTGCAGCTACAGGACAGTTCCACTTGCAGCGATCCCAGCATGGAGTTGCCCTGGAGTACTTCCTGTTCTCTTGGGGCTGATTGTTTGAGCAGTGATCCCTGCAATGGGCATCATATTCCTATCTGCAGGGAGCCATCCCTAACTTGTTAGTGGTAGTACTTGGGAAGGCAAAGGCTTTCTACAACTTCCCTTTGACGTTTATTTCCCTGGGACTTCTGCAGTTGTCACACTTACAATCGATAGCATTTGAGTCAGTACTGAACCATTCTCCTTCCTCTCCATTCCTATCAGCTTCTCTCAGGAGGGCTCCAGATTTTTGGTTTGCAGGATGGCCAGTTTGGGGAAGACTTAGGATTGGCTTTCCTTCTCTAACAGACATGATCTTAGGCTCAAGTAGTCCTGTGCATTTACTTTGTGCAGATAGCAGCAAGTACAGTATTCAGATGTATGTGCAGAGGCGGTAGCCTGTGAGCTGGGATGAAGGAGGAGGACCCCGAGGTGGCTCTCCTCTTGCCTTCCATCCCTCTTCCTGCAGCACCTCTGGGTCTAACACTCCTCCACCTTTGTTGTCCAGGTGCATCCACTGTGGTGTCATTCACCTGACTTTGGCCTTGCTGAAAAGCCACATCCAGGAACGACACTGCCAGGTTTTCCACAAATGTGCATTCTGCCCCATGGCCTTCAAGACTGCCAGTAGTACGATGGACCACAGTAACACCCAGCACCCCACCCAGCCTCACAAACCCTCCCAGTGAGTGCAGCTGCAGGACCAGTAGGTCCTGTGGGGCAGAGAGGGTGGCCTGGATGCTGTAAGGGTGGCGTAAGGATGGGCTGGGGAGCCGAGGCTATGGAGAGATTTGTGGAGTCTCCTGAGAACATCCCAAGACAGGAAAAGATGTATACTGGCTCAGGCTAGTGTGTCCCCAAACTTCACCCTGGTTCAGAGAGAGCGGAGACGGGAGAGGGGCTGTTTGACCCTGCCATCAGAGCCCTGGTTACCTTACACCTCCGGGGCTTGTTTTGTCAGGCTAATTTATAAGTGCTCCTGTGAAATGGTCTTCAATAAGAAGAGGCACATTCAACAGCATTTTTACCAGAATGTCAGCAAGACACAGGCGGGTGTCTTCAAGTGCCCTGAATGCCCACTCCTATTTCTGCAGAAGCCAGAATTAATGCAGCATGTCAAGGTGAGGTGCCTAGGGGAGAAGTTTCAGGCAAGGATGTGCCTCAGGCCAGGGTGTGACTCTGCATCTTTACATCCTCAGAATACCCATGGTGTTCCCCGGAACGTGGATGAACTGTCCAGTCTCCAGTCTTCAGCAGACACGTCCTCTAGCCGTCCTGGTTCTCGAGCTCCTACTGAGCCCCCAGTAACAAGTGTGGCTGCTAGAGGCAGCTCCCTGACTGCTGGTCGTTGGGGCCGGCAGGAAGCCCACCGCAGGGCTGAAGCCAGACCCCGGATGAGGAGCACTGGTTGGACCTGCCAGGAGTGCCAGGAATGGGTTCCTGATCGAGAGAGCTATGTGTCACACATGAAAAAGAGCCATGGGCGGGTGAGTGTAGCCACGTGCCACATCGTAGCACTGGTATTGTTGGGTCTCTGTCCTGTGAAGCAAGCATTCTCTAATGTGGCTAACCTCTGCAAGTTCCTGGTAGTTTGGGCAGGGGCTATCCTCTCTCTGGTCCTATCACTAAAAGGAAAGACACACCCAGAATTTAGGATTCTGATGCTTTGGGACTTGTCTCTTCTTCCCTCAGACACTGAAGCGGTACCCGTGCCGGCAGTGTGAACAGTCCTTCCACACCCCCAGCAGCCTGCGCAAACACATACGCAATAACCATGACACAGTAAAGAAGGTCTACACTTGTGGGTGAGTCTTGAGGGGGAGGGGAAAAGTCCTGATCCAAAGGCTTTGCCTGTGGCCCCACTGGGGCTCTTCTGTGCTGTGAGTCAGTGGGGCCACAGATGAGCAAGACACAAATGAGTTCCTAGTAGGGAAACACCAACTAAACCAGAAACCAGGCAAGTACAATGAAACATTTATCTAAATTACTCTGTTATTAATAAAAACTCAGGCGTCAGCTATTGGAGTAAAAACCAAATAGATCAAGAAAGCAGCAGAGGAACAAACAGCTCTACTGTCTCTCTATGATTCCTAGATTGAAAAGGCCCGCACATCTTTCTGAGCCCCTCCCTATCCCTTACCGTGCCTCCCTGTCATATCCTGGGTCTTCCAAAACCTCTATGGCTAATTCTGGTCAGCTAGTCATTGACTCTGTCCCCTGATTCAAGATTAACTTTATTAACAGTCTTGGAGTATCACAGTACAATCAAAATCCTGTAACGTCAGGAACCAGCATCCAAGGAAGGCCTTGCAGCTCTTGAGCCTTTCCTCTTTTACTCTTTTTAGCCCTGGATTTTTCTCAGTGGGGCATAATATTTGAGAGTAGAGATGGTGATGTGATAGACATGTTCTGACCTTTCTTACTTGCACTGGGCCTTCTGGATGGCATTGGGATGAGGGCTTAGTGTCAAGTATGCAAGCCTTCTGAATTGCTGTTATCTGCTCCCTTAGCCAACTCGCTGGTTTGATTAGCAAGTCTACCTGGTCATATAGCTTTCCTCACGTGTTTGTGAGGAACACAGGGAACCTGAGGTTTCTTTCCTCCACCTCCTCATCTGTGCTCTTGCAGGTACTGCACTGAGGATAGCCCCAGTTTTCCTCGGCCCTCCCTCCTGGAGAGCCACATCAGCCTTATGCATGGTATCAGAAACCCTGATTTGAGCCAGACGTCCAAAGTCAGACATCCAGGTGGACATTCCCCTCAGGTGAGTGTGGGGTCACTGCCTTGAACTGGCTTCTCAGTGAGACCTGGGACTGGAAAGTCTTCAGAGGGGGCTTCAGGGGCCCATTAGTAGTTGCGGTCATAGAGAAAGCAGAGTGACACCTAAATGTGGTCACTCTATTTCCTTGTGTCCCATTAAGGCACTGGGCATAATTAAGAGATAGGAACAAAGATCTATGGGAAAGCCTGCCCGTCAGATGTTTGTTGCTGTAACCTTACTTCCGTTCCCTTCAATAACTTATGAGGCAGGCAGGCAGGCAGGCAGGCAGAGCTACGTTGTCAGGGGAGGATCCTTACTTCACTGTTGCTCTAGCTATAGGAAGAGTCAGGTCTGGAACTCCCTCTGCCAGCCCCTTGCTTTCTTCCCTTACACTGGTTGCATGCTCCTTTTCCATTTCTGGTGAGCTTCTAGAGTAGCCTGATTGCCCCTCTACTGCAGATTCTTCCCACATCGTGGTATAGAGCAGGTGCTTTGAAGAAGTCTTAGAGCTGCCCGGAGGTCACGGGCTGTCTTGACACTTTCTTGTTTCTTCAGGGAATGATGCTAGCACACAAAGTAGGTGGACTATCAATTTCTTCCTATTCTTCTTTTGGTCAGTAACAATTCATGAGAATATACAGCCTCCCATACCTTAAGTGCATGCACATGCCCTTTGATTAACACAGCAGTTCTGCTTCTAGGAGAGACTTGGGCCTTAGGCATAAAGCAGTGTGTTCAGTGATGTCTGCTGCAGTGACAGCGATGGAATTTGGATATCTGCTAGAGGGAATTGTCAGCCCACAATGGATTAGTGTGCTGCCACTAGAAAAGAAGCTTCTGTGTTTGCTTACATGGAGGCAAACTCCACCATGTGTTATTAAGTACAAAATTGCAGGATGAAAGAAATGTGCATAGCATGCACATAATTGCATAGTTGTTTGTTGTTTTTTTTTTTTTTTTTGTTTGTTTGTTTGAAAAAAACATTCATGAGATCTGTCTTAGAGGAGCTATAAAATCCAGGACTCTTAGTTAGTTCTGTTGCTATGATAAAGATCAGGACCAAAAACAGTTTGGAGAGGAAAGACTTTATTGCAGCCCTTAGTTTTATAGTCCACCATGAAGGACAGTCAGGGCCAAAACTCAAGGCAGGAACATAGAGGCAGGAACAGAAGCAGAGACCATGGGGGAATGCTGCTTGCTGGCTTACTCTCTGTGGCTTGCTAAGCCTGCTTTTCTATGTAATCCAAATCCACCTGCACAGGGATGACACCGCCCACAGCAGGCTGGGATCTCCCATGTCAATCAGTCAAGAAGATGACTTCTATTAGGCCAGTCTGAAGGAGGCATTTTCTCACTGATGCTCCCTCTTCCCAGATGACCCTGGCTTGTGTCAAGCTGACAAAACTAAACAGTTATTAGCCAACAGTGCAGTTCCAGGGATCCCGATACCCTTTTCTGACCTTCTCAGGCACATGGTGCACATACATATATGCAAAACGCTCATGCATGAAAAAAGGTGAATAAATCTAATAGAAATTAAAAAGCAAAAACTGGAGCTGTCCCTAGAGCCCAGAGTGGAGGGAGGAAAGCGACCACCCCCCAAAAGCTGCCTTCTGACCTCAGCTTGAGTTCCATGTGCACTCTCCCCATGAGCAGTAAGTACACCTGAGGGCTCAGCCTCATGGCTGCTCACACTGTCTTTCCTTTCAGGTGAACCAACTGAAAAGACCAGTCAGCAGAATGGCAGATGCTCCGGGCACTAGCAATGGCGCGACTCTTTCCTCTACCAAAAGGCACAAGTCCCTATTTCAGTGTGCAAAGTGCAGCTTTGCCACAGACTCAGAGCCCGAGTTCCAGAGCCACATACCTCAGCACCAGGTGGACAGCTCTACAGCCCAGTGTCTCCTCTGTGGCTTGTGCTACACATCCGCCAGTTCCCTCAACCGCCACCTGTTCATAGTCCACAAAGTGAGAGACCAGGAGGATGGAGAGGAGGAGACTGTGGAAGTGAAATTGGAAGCCACTGACCCAGAGGCATGCTCTGGAGAGGAGGTGGCCATGCAGACGAGGGAGAATGGACTAGAAGAATGTGCCAGTGAGCCTTCCGTGGCTGACCTAGAGCCAAGGAGATCACTAGGCCTGACCCCGGAGGAAGACAGTGCTCAGGGCCCCCAGAATCCACCACAGGCCTCTCAGGACCAGAACAGCCATGCGCTATCTCCTCAGGTGTGACCAGAGGCTTTGTAGCCATCAGTCAGGCCGTGGCACCCTCCACCTGCTATGCAGGCTGTGAAAGAAAAAGCGCTGTCCCAGTGTGTGTGGCCACTGTGCTCGGGAGCAGTGTCTATCCTGAGCTGTAGATTCTGGATGTCTCCCAGCATCCAGAATCCCTCACAGCTCTGAATTTGCTTCTGTTATTTATGGCTTTATGCTGCTTCTTGGTACCCCAATTCTCATCCGTGTCCTTCCAGCCCCAGGTGGCTGAGGTAGTGCAGCCCTAATGCTGTCACTCAGTCCTCAGTGGCTGTGTTGTGGGCTCCCTACCTGCTGTGTTCTGTGGGGCCTCCTCAGAGCTCTATTTCCCTGCAGAGCCCAAGAAGGGGAATGAAGGATGCTAGCTGTTCCACTGGGACTCTGCCCAGCCTGGCTTGTTGAGGTCCCTTGCTCACCCTCTCCTTCCTATCTTCTCTCATTCTTTTCCCTGGAAACATCCTGAGGACTTCACGTGTCACCCTGGCTGATGTCTCTCTGGGTGGGAGAAATGTCAGCACACTCCTATTTGGAGCTGAGGAAAGCATGAAGTATGGCCAAGGCAGGCCGGTGCTGAGAGCCAGACCCTCTTTGAGAGCTGTGGGTGGGTCCCCCTGCTGCTGCTGTCCTGTAGTCCCTGACAGGTAGGGCGTGGCTTACACAGACATTGGCATGTTTGTATTCTTGCTCCTGTGCCCTTAGAGAGGCTGCTGCCTCAGGCAGGCCAGCCCCTCCTCTTCCTCTCAGCCACATTCTTATTGCTCAGACTATATTTCAATAAAAAAGAAAATCTTATCATGCAGGTAGGCTCTTGTATTCATGCTCAGGTGAGCTAGCCCTTCCCAGCTCCACCTGAGGCTCTCCCCACAGTGCTCTGACTGTCCCATCTGAAGGAAAACAGGGTCCTGCTGCCCATGGAGCTCTAGGCTCTGGAGCCTATGCCTGGGAAACCAGGGGGCCTGTATGCCTTGCTTCTCTTGAGACTTCTAAAAGAGGAGAGGGAGGGTGTCAGTACTGGTAAAGAGCCACTTCCAAGAACTCTGGCATATTGATATTCTCCAGGCATCTTTCCATTAAAGGGCTTTTCAGTCCAAAGAGCCTTCGTGAGGGGTCTGTGACTTTGTACAGCATTTGGAGACAGTTGCCATTGCCACAGCAAACCCAGACATGGTAGAGTTAGGGTTAGATGAGAGGTGGGCCTACCCAAGCATGAGGGACAGGGTGTGGGAAGGTGTTCTCTGACCCGAATGGCCTGGGGCTCGGCCTGGCAGAACCCTGTGCAGCACAGGGAAGGGGTGCTGGCTGAGTTCTTAGGCTTGGTCTTTCAAGGGAGGCATGGATATCTATTAGGAATCAAGTTGGATAAATATGCATGGACTTTTCACAATTGAAAACTTTTTTTGGTTGCTCTATCAAATGTCAAATTTGAAGTGAAAGGCTAATGGCAGTGGGAAAGTTAGTGCTTGCCTCAGATCCAGAGAGGCTCTGCTGTCTATACCATATGAATGAATGAATGAATGAGTGAATGAATGAATGAATGAATGAACGAACATTCTTCCTGGGAGGCCTCTGCCTCCCTGCTTCCCCAGCTGGCAGTGAGAAGAAGACAGCCCTATTGAGCAAGTCCCAAGCCAACCACTGTCCCTTTCCCAGTTCCAATCACATTTCTCTTCAGATCCTATCAATCTTTTACCTTATGCAGAGGGCTTTGAGCTGTGTAGCTGTATTTCTTCCCACTCAGAAGCCACAGAACAGAAGATGGAGAAACTAAGGGTGGAGTCCCTGTCCTCATGCCACATCTAGCCTCTTGGAGTGGGAGCACAGAAACTGCTCTGGAAAGCCTGAGCCATGGCCTGAGTTCTTCCCGCTCTTAACCAGCTCCTAACAGCTCTCCTTACATGCTTCTCCCCCTCAGCGTAGAACTAGGAATGCCCATCAGGCTCCTTCCAGGCTTTCATGAGGTCATGAGTGTGCAAGCACTTTCTAGTTTCTATAATAGCATGTGGATATGGGGATTCTGCGCTTCTGCACCTGGAGACAGAGCATTTCTCATCTGCTCACTTTTGGATGTGGGGTTATCAGTTAGGAATTGGCCTGCATGCCTATCCATTATTCAGTGATGATGAAGATAGCATTTCCAGCCCTGCTCATGGCCACCATCTTGTTAACTCTTAACAGAGATATTCATTTAATCCTCACAAGGATCTCAGTTATCCTTATTTTATAGAGAAGAAAACAGCCTTAGAGAGGTTGAATGACAGATTGTTGGGCCACCTGTGATGATGGTGCTGAGTCAAGCCTGTCCACCACTGTGCTACCTTAGTGACAGGGCTGCTCTGGCTGCTGCCAGGCTGTCAGCAGCGTGGAGCCATCCGAAGCCCACCCACCCTTCTACTCTCCAAAAAGGCAGGGTGCCCCAGTGTCAGGTCCTTCGTGGAGCCCACCAGTGCCTTGCCACCCCCAAGGAGGGCCCTGCATTTGCACGTGCGGTGTCCCTGCAGCGTTCTATTCTCACTGGGGTTTACTTTGCTATCTGAAGGCCCATCATCTCTGGAGCATTGTAGAAGAGGTTATCTAACTCTCCTGGGGAACACACAGTTCCTTCAGAGTCAGTATTTCCTGATTGCTTATGATGTCTTTTCAATGCACTATTGTTTGTCATCTGAGGACGCTTGCTGTAACAGGTATTTCACTGCTGCAGTGGATTCTCTCCTCATCAAGTTAGATAAGATTCTCTACTCTAGAAACTACCATCTCAACACACTGAGACTTGACAAATGACTAGTATTTATACTTTAACCGTTCGTTCTGTGTTTGTAAAATGATACGCCGGATTACCATGAACTAATTGTTGTAAAGAATTTGCCTCTTATGTAAACAGTCTGGATTTTAAAAACTTAATGGTTGTATTGTGTTCCCCTCCCCTTACCCCCCCCCCCACCCAATTCTACATTTTGCCTTGCCCCAGACTGAGGAACTTCTGTCCTGTTTGCCATTGTACATTCAGCACCAGGTAATTAAAAAAAAAATTGTTTGGAAGAAATAGATACATATACATTTGACAACAAAGCATTCAACAATACAAATGGATATACAATAAAAAGTAAACTTCCTGATGGAGGCGAGCCTCCAGTGCCCTCACCAGAGTTCCTCATTGTTATCTCTATCTTGTGTATCCTTTCAGAGCAATTCTATGCATTTATGAGTTATAAATATGTATATTTATATATCTATTTTTAATACAAACAGTAGCATTCTATATACCATGTTCTGAAGCTTGCTTTTTTTCCCCCTCTTACATAATGTTATAGAGGTTGTTCAGAACTTAGACGCTGGGTCAGTATAATTCTTTAAAAGCTTCAAACAATTTTTTGCATCCAATGGTACTATAAAAGATGTGTGGGTGAGTGAATGAATGTGTGCAGGAATGAATAAATCTGACTCAACTAATAATCTAGCCATAGAGTTCTTGGGCTAACCTAAACAAGATAGGATCTTCTAGACTCCAGAATATGTCCTTTGTCTTCTACAAGAGGTCCAGATGGCCATCTGCCTTCATCAACACACACAGCAGCTTAGGCAGTGAGCACAGGATGCCTTGGGCCATGACTCCAAATACATGTTTTTTTTTTTTTCCAGGTCCCAGTCTAAAATGCCTTTTTATTGGAAAATGATGGACCACTAATAGATAAAATGTAAAACACGTATTTGTTTGCTGTAAAAGTATTTATTTTATGTATGAGTGCTCCACCTGCATGTACACCGATATGCCAGAAGAGGGCGTCAGATTCCACTGTAGATGGTTGTGAGCCATCATGTGGTTGCTGGGAATTGAACACAGGACCACTGGAAGAGCAGCCAGTGCTCTTAACTGCTGAGCCATCTCTCCAGCCCAAAACATGTATTTATAATCCCACCTTAGCAAGTGCCGTCATCAGTTTTTGTATCACCTTCCAGCCCTTTGGTATATTCATACCGGAATTTATGGTATAATTGTAAATATGATCATAGCAGTTAATGTCCTAGAGTGTTGAGCATACTAGACAAGTGCTCTACCACTGAGCCACCTCCTAGGCTCTTTGTTTTGTTACAGGCGTGCACCACAACACAGGCTTTCTACTTTTTGGGTGGTGATCTCAAGAGCAGTGTGAGACAATGGAGAAAGCCAGTAACAAGAAATCAGAGAAGCTAGTTACTGATTCCTGTTTACAGCCATTCGGCCTCTGGTTCTCTCATATGCTGGATAATGAGATTGCTTTATGTCTTTGGGTATCTTGAACTTGGCTTGATTCTATCTTCTCATTCCACACATACTTATGCCCAAGTAGAGAAGACTCTCTCAAAGGCAAGAATTCTTAGTTTTCTCTTTTGCTTATTAATTTACTTTTTGGCTAAGATCTATGCAAAGTAGAAAAGAGCCTTCCCTGCAAGTAGTTAAAATTTTACTTGTGTATATAAACGTGTGTGCGCACACACATGCATTCTATCATTGAGCTACATATCCAGTACATCTGTTTATATTTCAGTTTGTATCAGGTTTTTGCTTTTATGTACTGAGTTCTTTTCTATTGCTTTTGCCTTTTGTTAGCCTTTGCCAGATTGGACTTTTCTGTCTATTGATAATTTTCAGGCACCTTCAAATCTTGTCATCTAGGCACTGTAGGGACCTAAATCCAGGTGAGTTCTTGAGCTAGTTCATTGTAGAGTGTATTGGCCTCCAAACATATTTTTATTAGGTTGGGAGTGATGATACACACCTGCATCTTGCTCTTGGGAGATGTATACAGGAGGATCATGAGTTCAAGGCTAGCCTAGGCTGCATAGTGAGTTTGAGACCAGCCTGAATACATGAGACTCTGTATCAAAAAAAAATTAAAAAAATGTATTTGTGTGCACAAACAGTTTCAGACTAGCCTGAAATTCACTATGTAGTCCAGGCTGGCCTCAAACTTATGAAGATATATCTGCCTCAGGTTCCCAGGTACCAAAATGATAGGCATGAGCCAGTACACCCAGTGGGGTTTGTTTTTTGTTTTGTTTTTATTTTTTTCTTTTTCTGAGACAGGGTTTCTCTGTGCAACAGTCCTGGCTGTCTTGAAATTTGTTTTGTAGATCAGGCTGGCCTCAAACTCACTGAGATCCATGGGCCTCTGCCTCCCAAGTGCCAAGATTAAAGGTGTGTGCCACAACAGCCCAGCTGGATTTTTTGTTGTTTTTCATTTTCAAATTTAAATTGTGTTTAATGCAAGACTACTACAAATCAATAATGTGTTATTGATTATATGGAAAGTTGAGCGCATAATATGATAGTCATTTATGTCAATTCCAGCTAAGAGGAGCCTCATCATACTGAGTGATTAAGTGACCACAGACAGTGAAAGGAAGTTGTAGAAGGGCCAGGCCTGATGATACTGGCCAGTAATGAGGACGGGGCTAGAAATTGTGGTAGTGCTGGGTGTGAGCTCAGTGGCAGAGTATTTGCCTAGTGTGCTTATGTTCTGGGTTTAATCCCAGCATTGGTGTAGGGGGGCGAAAGGGAGTAGGAGGTAGGTGGAGCCGGTGGTGGCTTGATTTGTTAGTGGCATTCCTTGCGTGGGCAGGGATGGTAGCAGTTGTTACTGAGAGGCATTCGAAGTTTTAAAAGAATGAGAAGTTGCAGATCTATAGGAAAGGGAGGGCTGAACCACAGGAAGCCTGGGTAGTACAGGCCTGAAATCCTGGCTAGTTGATGCACCGAGGGAAGGATCACCCAGTTCTGGACCAGCATGGGTAACAGAGAAGAGTGAGAAGGAGAAGGCCCTATCTCAAAATGAAAAGCTAAGAATGGGCTGGGGTAGAGCTTAGTGGTAAAGCACTTGCCTGGCATTGCCAAGGCCAGAGTTCAATCCTCAGGATCAGGTGAGGAATAGAGGAAAGGACTGGACTGCCCTAAAAGAGGCCAATGCTGCGAGGCTGGCTTTCTGGGCTTTCTGGGCCTGACTAACTGTACCCTGTGACCTCTGGAAGGTGCCTGGACTTGTAGCAGTCTGGCATGCGATCAGAGTGTGTGGGATGGAGAGAATACCTAGCTGGGTAGCCCTAATTTGGGGACCCAAATTCCTGTTCCAATCAAACTAGAATCAGAGAGCCTTCTTGTTGCCTGTGATCCTTTAACTGGTGCTCACTTAGTCCAACATAGCTGTGGCTACATCTCCAGTCCCAGACTGGCTAGCTCTTGACAGAAGGGAGGACCTGGAGGCTCCACCCTCTTGGAAGAGAGGTACAGCTGCTAAATTGAATGCTTCCTAAGCTCTTGGAGGGAGATCAGACAAGCATTCAAGAGTACTATGACATTGAAATCCCAGCCGCTCAGAGGCTGAGGCAGGAAAATTGAAGTTCAAGGCCTGCCAGGCCAAGAATGAGTTCAAAAGTAGCCTTTATAGCTTAGTGAGACCCTGTCTTCATAAAACAAACAAACAAAAACAAAAACGAACAAAAAGTAAGAAAGAGGTTAGAGATGTATGGAAGTGCTGGAGTGCTTGCCTGGTCCAATGGGATGGGCCACACACACCAGGCCAGATCAGCTTGCAGGAAGAGTAGCCTGCTGTATGAGGTTACAGGACCTCAGGGGAACAAAGACCAGTGAGATCTGGGTCCTGCTGAACGCAGAGCTAGGACTTGACTTTAAAATGAGGAGAATGAAGTGGGAAGAATACAGGAAGAGTGTGGAGGCTCACAGCTTAAAGTGTTATGTTGAGGCAGCCCACCAGTCTGCAGAGCTTGGAGGGAAGCTTGGAAGTCCTAACTGACCTGTGCCATAGCTTGTGGAAAAAGTTACCTCAGTATGAATCTACGTGGGTGCCAAAACCACAAAATAAGATCCAGAAGTCTCCAGGCTAGAGGGAAGTTACTAATGATTTTACTCCAATTTGCTCTGAGAGGCTCCCATGAAAGGTGGTGGTGGTTCATGGCACAGTAGCCAGGTGCACATGTCCAGAGAGGAAGAGCTTGTGACAGGAGGCTCTCAGCCATTTTCAGCAAGGAACTGTTGGAGGGAGTGGATGTATTGTGGAAGCAAAGCGAAGTCAAGCTGGAGAGATGGCTGGGTGCTTAAAGTGTTACATGCAAGCGTGAGGACCCGAGTTCACACAAAAGCTGGGTGTGGCTGGGTGGTGGTGGCTCACGCCTTTAATACCTGCACTAGGGAAGCAGAGGCAGGTGGATCCCTGAGTTCAAGACCAGCCTGGTCTACAGAGTGAGTTTCAGGACAGCCGGAGGTATATAGAGAGGCCATGTCTGGAAAACAAACCAAAAAAATAAAGCAAAACAAACCAAAAGCTGGGCGTTGCAGCACATGCCTATGACCCCAGGCTGGGGGACGAGGAAATGGCAGCAAGAGGACTCGGGTGCATTGGCCGGCCAGTGTAGCATGGTGAGCTTCTGGTTCACTAAGAGCCTGTTCCTCAAAAAGTAATCACAGAAAGACATCGACCTCTGGCCTCCACATGCCCCACAAGGCCAAGTGTACACACATGCACCACACATATTTAAAAAGAAAAAGAGCCAGGTGGGCTGATGCACCCCGTCTTGATGCCAGCACTCTGGAGACAGAGGCAGGCATCAGATCTCTGAGTTCCAAGTCATCCAGAGCCTGCCTCAAGGACAAAACACCGACAATGAAACTACCCTGTGACTAGTACGTCTGCATCTTTACATGGGCCTTACACCACAAGAGAAGTTAGGCTTCCGTGGCCTCAGAATTGAGCCATCTTAGAATGGAGTTTAATTCAGAATCAAGGAAAAATGAAGTGAGATGAACATGGGAAGGATGCGTTTCACAGCCTGGAGCTGTGTATGAGGCCTGGGTCCCAGTGACGGCAGGGCAGGGATCAAGGTAGAGGGATACTTAATGAAGCCAAGTTCCCATCCTTTTTTCCCCTGGAGACAGGGTTTCTCTGTAACTTTGAAGGCTGTCCTGGAACTTGCTCAGCAGACCAGGCTAGCCTCAAACTCACCTCCTGAGTGCTGGGATTAAGGACATGTACCACCACTGCCCAGCTCCAAGTCCCCTTCTTGCCAACCCTTATTGGAGCCTACTCAGTTTCTTCCCTTACAGCTACAGCAGCATATTCTTCCCTCAGCTCACCCCTTTGTCAGTCTGGTGGACTAACTCTGGTCTCTAGGAGATCAAGATAGCCCTCAGGCACTGGCATCTGGCCATTGTTGATGGGCAAAGCCGTGGGGTTGGTTTGGCCTTGTTCAGGAGGCCTGTGCTTTATAAC